CAGTCGCAAGAACTATTATTGTTGAGCAGGAAGCATGATGAATAAACAATCAACAAAATTCAGACTAGATTTGGCTTTGAAACGATAAACTGAGAGGGAAGAAAGTATGCTAAACCGTAATTGAAAAATAACAAACTCCAGCGGCAACGGCAGTAATTTTTTATTTAGCTACAGTTTTTATCTTGAAGTTTATTTGAACTAGAACTAGAATTGATATAAGGCCTCGAAATATTTCAGTGGGTGAATTGGATTATGCAGACCCACTAAAACTAAGGCCTATAACAGCGAGCCAACCTATAGTCAGGGGAAATAATGAATGTTAAATTCTATTGAAAATACAGTTAATTTTCGAAATATTCGACAGTGTCTGATCCGAAATTTTTCTGACTTCAACAGATCATATTTTTTATTTGGAATATGATGAGGTATTTAAAAATGGAATTCGATAGGATTTGGGATTTAAATTTTGGCAGTAAACGGGAGGTTAAAAGAAGGTTATCTGAAGGCTAAAAAAATATTAACGGGAGGTTAAAAGAAGGTTATCTGAAGGTTAAAACAATATTAACGGAAGGTTTAAAGAAGGTTATCTGAAGGTTAAAAGAAGATTAACGGGAGGTTAAAAGAAGGTTGACGGGAGGTTAAAAGAAGGTTATCTGAAGGTTAAAAGAAGATTAACGGAAGTTTAAAAGAAGGTTAACGGGAGGTTAACAGTGAGTTTGTCAACGCCACAGCGGCATCGCGTGCGACCACAATATTGCCCTCGTCTGATGTCAAGCTGAAGACGAATGGTCCAGCATACATGCATGGGTGTGTCGTGTGGGGTGTGGGTGTGTCGTGTGGGGTGTGGGTGTGTCGTGTGGGGTGTGGGTATAATATTAATCTCTGTGAATGAGCTTTTTGCGGAAAGGTTAATGTCAATTTTACCGTGGTTGTAGAAGATTTACAGTTAATAGCATCGAGCATCAGTTTCATGTACATGGATAACCCAGGCATCCTGGATCAGATAATTTCTATACCCAAATCTACTGCAAATTTTGAAGCTACTTTATCGTTCTGAATAAACATGATTTATTTACCCACTAAAATTTTATTGATACAGTAAATGTTCACATGCATATTTATATCGCGGCAGTATATGGTACAGCCTGAAAGTTCACTCCAATTGATGAATCAAGCTCTTATAACTGACTGGGAATGTAAGAAGAAACGACATCTTCGCGCTTATTTGATAAAATTTAATCTAAAAATTACATTAAAGTTTAAAAACCTCTGCTTTCCTTCGGAGAATTCAAGCTCTCTTCACAATTTACATTACGGTTACCGAAAATCTGAACATTTTAAATATTTTCCTTCAATATTTGGTCATTTTGACAGACGTCTATTTTCTGGGGTTGTTTTATTTTAGTTCCCCCAAAAATGGCAATGGACGACTTTCCTCTTTAGGCCGGAATCTGACACTTAGGCCGAACCATTTGAGGCATCAATTCCTTACACGAGCCAAGTGCGGCGATGATGTTTTACTCACGAGGCGATCGTCCCATCAGCTGGGACGTAGTTTGGATGGCTAGACGTTGCTGAGAAGTAGCGTGCATTGTTAAGCGCTGCTAGGACTTAGCTTGGATGGCTAGACGCTGCTGGGACGTAGCTTAGATGGCTAGACGCTGCTGGAACGTAGCGTGCATTGTTAAACGCGCTGCTAGGACTTAGCTTGGATGGCTAGACGCTGCTGGGACGTAGCTTAGATGGCTAGACGCTGCTGGAACGTAGCGTGCATTGTTAAACGCTGCTGGGACGTAGCTTGGATGGCTAGACGATTCTGGGACGTAGCGTGCATTATTAAACGCTGCTGGGGCTTAGCTTGGATGGCTAGACGCTGTTGGAACGTAGCGTGCATTGTTAAACGCTGCTGGGACGTAGCTTGGATGGCTAGACGATTCTGGGACGTAGCGTGCATTATTAAACGCTGCTGGGACGTAGCTTGGATGGCTAGACGCTGCTGGAACGTAGCGTGCATTGTTAAACGCTGCTGGGACGTAGCTTGGATGGCTAGACGATTCTGGGACGTAGCTTGGATGGCTAGACGATTCTGGGACGTAGCGTGCATTATTAAACGCTGCTGTAGCTTGGATGGCTAGACGCTGCTGGAACGTAGCGTGCATTGTTAAACGCTGCTGGGACGTAGCTTGGATGGCTAGACGATTCTGGGACGTAGCATGCATTGTTAAACGCTGCTGGGACTTGACCTGGATGGCTAGACGCTGCAGGGAGCTGGATTGCATGGATGACTAGACGCTGCAGGGAGTTGGATATGGAATTGCAGTTAGGAATTGGATTCATTCCTTGAGTTAGGTGATATTCGATATTTATTACCGGAAAATACATATTCTGAAATGGTTTACTAACATATTTAAAATTCATGCAGCTACTGCACAGTTGAAAAACGAATGACATCCTTGAGTTAGTTGAGATTCGGTGTTGAATCATTGGAGTTATCCCCGGGAAACACGTTTAAGAATCGGCTGAGCTGAGATATGTAGAATTGATGCAGCCACTGCACTGTTATGAAGTGAATTGATTAATCGAGGTTGGTGATATTTTGCGTTGAATCATCGTAGTTATACCGGAAATGGCAGTTAGGAAACGGACGAACTGACATATGTGGAATTAATAGGATAACGAGAAGCTACTGCATGGGTGCTGGATTGGTTTGCTAGACGCTGCTGAGGGTTTGATTGGAAGGCCAATCGCTGCCTGGAGTTTGATTGGATGACTGGACGCTGCTGAGAGATGATTTGCCAAGCGAAAACCTGCCGAGACTTGTCCTAATGGATTTGTTCTACTGCAGTCAAAATGAACAGGAGCTCAGCCATGTCGTTAGAATCCGCTACACAGACACAGCACCTGAAGGACCTTCCGCACACCAATGTCAGCCGGAGTACCCGACGTGTCCTGAACCAGTAATTTGGGGCATCCGACGTGTCCTGAACCAGTAATTTGGGGCATCCGATGTGTCCTGAACCAGTAATTTGGAGCATCCTTCGTGTCGCGAACCAGTAAAATGGGGCATCCGACGTGTCGTGAACCAGTAATTTGGGGCATCCGACGTGTCGTGAACCAGTAATTTGGGGCATCCGCCTGGTCGTGAAACAGTAACTTGGAGCATCCGTCGTGTCGTGAACCAGTAATTTGGAGCATCCGACGTGTCGTGAACCAGTAACTTGGGGCATCCAACGTGTTATGAACGAGTAATTTGGGGCATCCATCGTGTCGTGAAACAGTAACTTGGAGCATCCGACGTGTCGTGAACCAGTAATTTGGAGCATCCGACGTGTCGTGAACCAGTAACTTGGGGCATCCGACGTGTCGTAAACCAGTAACTTGGGGCATACGACGTGTCGTGAACCAGTAATTTGGAGCATCCGTCGTGTCGTGAACCAGTAACTTGGGGCATCCGACGTGTCGTGAACCAGTAACTTGGGGCATCCGACGTGTCGTGAACCAGTAATTTGGAGCATCCGTCGTGTCGTGAACCAGTAACTTGTGGCATCCGACGTGTCGTGAACCAGTAATTTGGAGCATCCGACTTGTGAACCAGTAATTTGGAGCCTCCTACGGGTCGTGCACCAGTAACTTGGGGCACCCGACGTGTCGAGAACCAGTAACTTGGGGCATCCGACTTGTGAACAAGTAATTTGGAGCCTCATACGGGTCGTGCACTAGTAATTTGGGGCATCCGACGTGTCATGAACCATTAATTTGGTGCATCCGACTTGTCGTGAGTGAGTAATTTGGGGCATCCGACATGTGCGCCCATTTCCCGTTGAGAAAACCGTCCTTACGACGAGGCTTTGGCAATAGAGTAACAGCTGGCGGTATCGTTAACGTTCCGTGTTTTGTTTGAACGCGTTCAAGAACAGACTTGTTAACGCTATGCAGATTGCAGAGTTATATGTTTCGACTAGATGAAGCTTGTCGATCAGAGGTTTGTTTCGAATGGAAATTCCTCTCACCTCGCAAATTGGTGGATGTTCATCAGCTACTTAGCTTCAAGGTCAGTCTTGGATATATCTGGCCAACATGCTAGTGGTCAGATCTTCAAGGGCTTGTCAAAAGTGTTATAAGAATTATCAACAGGCCAAGATAGGCTATGCTTCTATGCCGATATTACTATGCTTTTCCATGCTATCTGACTTGCCGTGAACCAGTCCCTCACTGACGGGAACTGTCATTGCAGTGCTCGGCTATGGCATCTGACTTGTCGTGAACCAGTCTTCAGCCGGAGTACCCGACGTGTCGTGAACTATTAATTTGGAGCATCCTGTAGAAATGTAATAAGCGCCCGTAATTTAAAACCTGTTCATATGATCTGACCTTCTTGAACGACAAACTTATTCTACGTTGTAACGTACCATTTGAATAAATTCACTCAGAATCTGTCCACTGCCCAGTGAGCACCTGGTATCATTTCCTTCCTAATTCATGAGGTCGCAGTCTCCCCAGCACGCTTAAACTAGCATTCCATTACATCCGACGTGTCGTGAACTATTAATTTGGAGCATCCGACGTGTCGTGAACTAGGTATTAATTTGGAGCATCCGACGTGTCGCGAACTAGGTATTAATTTGGAGCACCCGACGTGTCGTGAACTAGGTAATAATTTGGAGCATCCGACGTGTCGTGAACTGGTATAAATTTGGAGCATCCGACGTGTCGTGTGTCATGAACCATTAATTTGGGGCATCCGACGTGTCGTGAACTATTAATTTTGGCATCCGACGTGTCATGAACCATTAATTTGGGGCATCCGACTTTTCGGGATTAAGTAATTTGGGGCATGCGATATGTACGCCCATTTCCCGTTGAGAAAACCGTCCTTACGACGAGGCTTTGGCAATAGAGTAACAGCTGGAGGCATCGTTGACGTTCCGTGTTTTGTTTGAACGTGTTCAAGAACAGACTTGTTAACGCTATGCCGATTGCAAGTTATATGTTTCGACGAGATGAAGCTTGTCGATGAAAGGTTTATTTCGTATGGAAATTCCTCTCACGTCACAAATTGGTGGATGTTCATCAGCTACTCAGCTTCAACGTCAGCATTGGATACATCTGATCAACAGGGTGAGGGAAAACTCGCTATAAATTTACTTTCCGCTAAACTTACACGTCACGTCATGCGTGCAGGCAAACTTGCCCCACTGCTATCTCAGTCGTGGAGGAACGCGCACTTGCCGCTCCTCGTTTTGCTGTTTAGCCGGTACTCGGGTGGGCCTGCTTGGTAGCACTGACCACGTTACCTCCGGAGCCCTTGTTTCCCTTCTAAAGCTGCTAGAGTCAGCTAGTTCTACGCGGGCCAGTTTCGTCGCGTCAGCGTCCGTCCGCTGTTGAGCTGGCAAACCTCAAGTTGAGTTGGGCGCTGCGTGTGTGCGATCTGTCCGTGGTTGACCTAAGGAGGAGCCGACATGAAGCTTAGACTTTTTCTGTTAATTCCGTATCCGTTAAATGTGGATTTAGTTTAAAGTAACGTGATAGGTAAGCACGCAATGTGCCATTCTCTGTATCCGCAACTTTCAGCTCTTTAGGAATTTATTCATTTTCTTAGTAAAGTATTAAAACTTGTTCGCCTTGTCCTTCCTTCCTGCAACAGTCTTGAGGGCCTGCCCTGACAAACAGGCTAGTGGTCAGATCTTTAAGACTAAAAGTAAAAAGTATTTTAAGAATTTTCGACAGGCCAAGATAAGCCATGCGTCTACGCCGATATTATTATACTTTTCTATGCTATCTGACTTTCCGTGAGCCAGTCCGTCCCTCACTAAGGAGAACAGTCGTTACAGTGCTCGGCTATGGCATCTGACTTGTCGTGAACCAGTCCCTCACGTATGGGAACTGTCGTTACAGTGCTCGGCCATGGCGTCTGACTTGTCATGAACCAGTCCTTACTGACTGGAACTGTCGTTACAGTGCTCGGCTATGGCATCTGACTTGCCGTGAACCAGTCCCTCACTGACTGGAAATGTCGTAACTTTAAGGCTGGTGCAGAATTTATTCATGGAATTGTATAAAGAGGGCTCGAAGATATGGCACGCATGCACGAGGCAGACACATTGACTGACTTTATATTTTTTAGATATGCGGAAGGGGATCATAGTTTTTACTTGTACTAATATTTTATAGAAACGTATGGCTTTACTTATAATTTAAAGAATTTTGTGACTTTGAAGGATGAAGTTTCTGCGATTATTTTATTTCTAAGAAAATTTTATCATTCAACTCTAGTAATAACATTTATAAAATGAGTTTCATGTTAATGAGATCATTGTCTGTTTAATGTGTCTGTCGGAATAAATGTCCTGATTTAGAATTTCTCCTTCATTTTAATTTTTTTATTTAATGTTTGATAGCTCCTCTATGTTTATGTTAAGTGACTTTTAATTCGTTCCCTGAATGTAATAAGTAGACGCACATAATTGCATCAGCTCTGAATATTATATTAATTAGCGCATACTAGTTCATTTCATCACTAATTATTTAATTGTTCCAGACTCCACTTGAAATGAACATAAATGAATTTGCATGGCAATGATTCTTAATAACCTGCATTGAAGTGATTAGTTTAATAAGATTGTTAATTTTATTTGAAAATATAATTCCTAAAAACATTAACGGTCAACGAAGAAATTCATGCTCCCATATTGATTATTAATTTCAACATTTCTCAAAAGATTTAATAATAAATGTAATAATAAATAATAATTTGAACCGACGTTATTAAAATACATTAAAATTTCTGTGCCTTCTGGACACGAAAATTGTCGCTTAATTGTATCTGGATAGAAGCGATGCATTTTGCGGGGGAAAACCAGGACAGCTGGCAACTGGAAATAAAAAAATTACAAGATCAAAACTAAAAAATGGATGAAGAAAAATAAAAACACAAGAGTGGCTTGAGTTAAAAAAAGAAGAGCAAGGCTAAATTTTCATGGGTTGTTTCCTGGTGGTAACAAGATAGCTTCTTGTCCAGGCGCATGGAAACAGAACAAAACATCGACTTTCCTGTCCCTGCAGGCGATGAAACTTTAATATTCGCGTCTTGTGTTTCTGGCGGAGGAAAAACATTATATGTTGGTGCATTCTAGGTGGTATTATATATCTTGTGAAATAAAGATGTGTTTTCGATGGATTCAAGTCTAATTCAAGGTGCTCGCCTCAAATTTACTTTTCTTTTTACCTCCGCTAATTTACGTCCGTCTAACGTATAAACTCGTCGAAATTTTCATTGAAATTAATAAAATTTAATGTATTAGACGTCTCAAACATTCTTGTCTGTGATGAAAATAAATAAATTTTGGTTAGATTTATGAGGCGTGCGATGTAATGGTTGGAATGTGAATGAACTTGCAGATCTAAAACTCTGGAATTATTTTTTGTTACATGTTTATGTAGGACGAATTAAGCCTTTTGAATTCAGAGTACACTAATAATTTGAAAATAAAAGTTATGATTTTGACGCAAACTATTAATTAAGATATGATCCACAGACACAAGTAATTCTATCCCAAAAACCGTTAAATATATCCGTTCTTTTCATATATACATCATATATTCATCTATTCAAATCCATCGATCCATCGTCTAGGACGACGGATTTGAAGCATAATGGAAATCCAAATCGCAGGATTTTCTCCAATTCGTGAGATATCCTTCACAACATGACACATCTTCCAATTATTCAGATATCTTCCACATCAAAAGACATCTTCCCCATCGTATGATATCCTCCAATAATTCCGATATCTTCCATATCATAAGACATCCTCTACATCATGAGATATCCTGCACATCATGAGATATCCTCCACATCAATATCTTCCATATCATAAGACATCCTCTACATCATGAGATATCCTGCACATCATGAGATATCCTCCACATCATGAGACATCCTCCACATCATGAGACACCCTCCACATCATAAGACATCCTCCACATCATGAGACATCCTCCACATCATGAGATATCCTGCACATCATGAGATATCCTCCACATCATGAGACATCCTCCACATCATGAGACATCCTCCACATCATGAGACACCCTCCACATCATGAGACATCCTCCACATCATGAGATATCCTCCACATCATCGCGGCGCCGACGTTGTGCATCACTACTCATCCCTAAAGATGTCTTAATGCAGAGAAACATCCTCGAGTCTGATGTAAGGCTCCATTTCAGAGCATTACCCTTCATTGTAATCCAAATGCCGCGCTTGATCAGACCCTGTCATTGATATGCGACTCGTTCCCCAGCTCATCTTTATGAAGGCTTTTAACGTGAATAATAAATCTTTTAAACGTGTTTGGTGTTCGCTGGTCTGTCGGTCCCGGCCTCGATATCGTCGGTCATTTCCGCGGGATTTGGTACTCGGATTTTGAGAGAAGCTTGTGGACGTGTCATGACACTGGACATAGTAATAGAGGTCGTGTAAAATTATTGTTACAGTTATTGCATTGCACTTTATTGCAGTGAATTTTGTCATGTTTTTGACATTCATCAACGTAAACACATATTTGCGCATTACAACTGAGAATGGGGCAATTTACAATCAATCTATTGCATAATAACCAATACTATTCGTAAAAAAATATTTCCCAAATTTAATTTCTTGAATTTAATTAACAAAAGAAATTAACCTTATCTGGTTAATGAAATTATTTCTGAATATACAATATCAATAAATGAATGTATAACTCTTAACGCAATATTTAAGGTTATATTTACCCTGGCTTGGGAATAGCTTTATATAAATTATTCTCAAGGAGCGAGGATCACGTGAGCGTAAAAACAGCAACTCCTGACTGTATCATTACAGTCCTAATGAAATGGACTGAAGGTCTTGATTTAAACAGAGCAGAAAAAACTATTCCTTAGGAGTTATAATGAGAAAAGTCAAGTGCATATAATACGTATACATTTTTTGTTGTATTTGAGAATGAAAATTTGAAATTACATCAAATAAAAGGGAAACATAGAAGTCACATTGCAGTGACTTGCACCATGGTGAAGCTTTTGAAAAGAAAATGTTCATAATTAAGTCATGACCAGGAGCAGTATTTTTCAGTGCTCGAATAGCCTGAGAAAACTCACCAAATGTGAAAGGAACACAGTGATAATTCTTGAGTCTGGATATATCACTTATCACTTCTGAGACTACTGCTTCAGCAGTTGGAGTGTAAAGACCAGCAGGTAAAAAATGTTCAGAAAATAGTGAGGCTTTGGCTGAGTCCGCAACCTGTAGTGAGAAAGCCGCAACCTGGTTAGCGTTATTAATAAATATAGGACTAATTAAAATATAATAATAATAATAAATATTACTAATATAAATAAAAATAAAAGCCGCGACAGAGTGCATGATGTAAATTAATTGAAGAAAAGCATTACTGTACATGAATGTTATTCCTGCACTTCTCGCCAACTGTTGACGATGAAAAAAATAAGAGGAAGGAAAAAGGAGCATGAAAAAAGAAGCATAAAATTTCCATAAAATTTGCGTCTCCATCACAGTCCAGTTGTCAGGCTGAGCGTTGCAGTTTCTTATCGCCACAATTTCAGATCTTGGAAACTTGGAGCAGTGACAATTCATAAGACAACTTGGGAACAAACTTTGGCTTGACTCATTGCAAGTAGCTGCAAAACTTGACACCTGTTTGTTCCTGTTGACAGAAGTCGGTCCAGTCTCACGCTCTTAGATTGGCATTTTGTGAACAATTTGTGTAGTTACGCTTTGAAATTGTTGTGTAATTAGCTAGCGTAAGTAATGGCTTGTGTTCAGTACGAGGCTGTCTGGTGAAATTTCAGCATGAGTATTTTTATTTTGGCAGATAATTAGAAATTGTTGAGGTGCTTGAAGTCATGAATTATAATTGAAAACATACACAACATCACATCAAATATATTACGCAAATACTTGGGCTTCGAGAATATTTCTTATATTTTTTACGAACTTCAATACATGAAATAGCACACACGACTAATTTAAAGCTTCAAACTCATCAGCGTTAAAAATAGTTGGATGCAGTCTTTCCTGTTTACGTGATACGCTCTCCCTGCGTTATAATCATGAAATTGGGCATGCAATTTGTTCTGTTGTTTCCGAGACGTTGAATGCAGCGTGCGTCGGATAACATCCATCACATGGCGGGACATGCCGCTATAAGCTGCTCCATTTGAGGCCAATTTCCCTATGTGATTGGCGCCCAATCACTTGACACTGATTGACTCGTCAGTGCGTGCGGTAAAATTCAAAAATGCTTGATCCGCTCATAGAAAGATTTATTGAAGCGTATGTATCACATTCGATAGTTTATCTGTTTCCAGTGTTAAGTTTTTGGTTTCGTTCTCTGTACGTAAATCACGCTTTTGTAAAAAATACATTTCTTTGATCAAAAATTAAACTCATTTTTTGAGCATATTTCCTTTTTTCCTGATCACATTGTTCACCCTTACTGACCACGATTGGCATCGTCAAGCAGGAACAGCCACCGGAGAAGCGAAATCTTTCTTGTTCGAAAACCGCTCCCGATTAGAGAGTAATATTCCATTTAATTTAATTAATCAAACACTGAAATTGATTATTTATAGGTAATTCAAGGAAATCGTCACTGGGACTTGCAGGCCATAGGCCTAACGAAATACTTACTATTTAATTTCTAAGATATTTTTCAACATCTTTATAATATTCATCAAAAGTTAGAGTCAATATAGTTGGTACTTTTGCAGAGAGGTTTGAAGCGAGAATTTTGAGAAGCTCATTTGTCATTGAATACCGACCGAAGTGGTTGAATGCAATTTAAATAATAATAAGAATATCACGTTATTGAAGAAAATTAAATTTATTTCCACATCCACCTTCGTTTCCCTTTACTTAAAAACTAACTATTAAAATAAATTCGCATACAAACAGGAAAGATACTATTAAATAATCATTCCATAGTTAGTGGAAACATAATGAGATCGCATTATGAACTTGCAGTATCAGCCAGACTCAATATACAGCATAGCTCAGAAATACCTTCGCATACACTAGCAAAAATACGCAGAGTTTTGTACAGACTTGTTAATTAAGTATTTTATGCAAGCCTTACAGGCGCGGTGCTGGAGCATTAGACGCGCAACGAGCCCATCTGGCAGCGCCACGGCAAATGAAGCCTGGCTTCAAACTCTTACTGGCAAATGAAGCCTGGCTTCAAACTCTTACCGGCATATGAAGCTGCGCTTCAAACTCTTACTGGCAAATGAAACCTCGTTTCAAACTCTTACCGGCATATGAAGCCTCGTTTCAAACTCTTACCGGTATATGAAGCTGTGCTTCAAACTCTTACCGGTATATGAAGCCTCGTTTCAAAACACTTACCGGCATATAAAGTCTCGCTTCAAATTTTTACGGACAAATGAAGCCTCTCTTCGAACTCTTACCAGTTAATTTTNTGGCGCGAATATGGCCTCGTTTGCGATCGTCAGAATTTGAGAAATTCAAAAATCTGCGAGTTGTAATCGCACGATCACCCAAATCTCTTGGATTTTGCAGCCTCCGCTCTGCGCCTGAACTAATCCCAAGTTGCAAATCGGAGCGGGTTTATGAGATTTTCCTTTTTAAAGCAGATTTACGATAGCTGAAATCCTGGACTCCCTCTAGGTGGATTTTTGGAATTCGCTCGCAGGTGCAATTGAGTTACCGAAACTTTGAAGCTGGTCTTTAGTCGAGGCAAGTAAGCATTAAAATAAATAAGTGGATTTCTTATGAAACCCTATTATCTGAACAATTTAATTTACTCCTTGTGCTATTACACCTGCAAAACCGCTGATGCAATTTACGCGTTAATTCGGGCGAAAACAGTCACGGGATGAGGGGATGTATAAAAAACATTTAATGTAAATTGCGTACAGACCCCTGAAAGTCATTGAATGCATCAAGAATATGATTATTCAAAAGTAATAAGTTGCTAAAAAAACATCTTACCTATTTATTTAATTTGCCTGGGTTTGTTTAGATTCAGACAATTCACCCTATGCTCAATAATTGATTTCCGTAGAGCGTTCTGACTCAACTTAATAAAAGTAAAATAATAATATTTATTATTACGATCAAAATAACCATATATTGTTGCAAAAAAAATATATATATATCCGGAAATAATGAACTATTCAATGAGTAACTATAAATAATATGATCTGGAAAAAAATATGTCTAATTCACTGGGGCATGTAAAAGTAGTTACATAATTATACTAAATAATATGTTGTTTGCAAAGTTGATTCAGTTTTCAACAGACCATTGCCAAATATTTCTAAATTTATATGGCACAAAATTTTAACCGATTCAAGATTTCCATAGAAATTTACAAGCCAAAATATAATATTCATTTCATATTTTTTATATAAATATTTTTATTTTCTACGTGGCAGGCTCAATAGAGCTGGTACCGAGCAGCGAGTCCCAAGACGTGTCGTCGGGTTCGAACATCGTCGTGACGTGCAAACTGAGCGGCAGAGGCTTCACCTCGCATCGGATATGGTGGACAGGTCCTAGTGACCAGCGAGTGCCCACCAGACTTAACAGGTTAGTGACAGGTTATGTTAAGCTGTAATAACACATAAACTGTTTATCAAGGCTTGGAAGTAATCTTACACTCAGAAAAATGAGTGAAACTTTGGCCCAAATAGCGATGCATTTTTCGCCAGTGGATGGGACATCCTGACCAAATTTCGGCCAGCAAAAGAGTGCATATCAGTGCAATGGCCGTTCTCTGCTCGGACTGTGCTTAAGAATGTGTGTCACTATTCGGACAATATGGCCGAATAGTATGCTTGTTGTGGCCTTATGGCCTTTTATCATTGGCCTTATGGCCAATATGGCCTTGCTTTATCCGTGTAACCTTGAATAAGACAAGGTAAGGAGGATTAATGGCAATTTAACGGGCTTCTTTGCCCAAATAGCTCGATGCACTTTTGACCCTATAATGGGTCAACATGGCAGAGTTTGACCAGGCAAAAATGTATATCAGCGCTACATCATATCTCTGTTCTTGCTGTGAGTGAGAAAGTGTGTCCTTATTCGGGCAATATGGTCCTTTAATTTTATGCGTGTGCGTTTCAACTATTTATGGCATAATTAAATTTTATATTTTCAAAGTTTGATTGGCGTAATATATCAAGTTGAACTTATACGACACAATTTTTCTTTCTTTCTCCGGTCAAGGAATGGTGCTATAGATGGGAGTCATATCCTGGTACCTTCATTGGCGTAAAGTCGTGAAGTGAAAATAGGCTAATGTCTCGACCACTGATCAGTTACTCGCCGGATTAATCTGACAATTTTTGAAAATTATTTGATGTTTTTCCAAGAATAATTCTAATAGAACAATTCTTCATTTTTTTCCAATGCACGCATGAAATGTTATTAGTAAAATCATTCTTGCAGTGACAATGAAACAGTTAGTTTTGACAGAAAGAATACTGATTGAAAATACCCATGATTGATCCTTGATATTCCAGCCACAGCAGAATGAGTTTTGAGTAGCAATGAATTGAATGAATTGTGTTATCTCTCTGATTCTTATCTATACAGATTGATTGAATGAATAAAAATAAAGCGAAAATCAATTAAATGCAGACGATAGAATAAAGGCTGTAATAGAGTACGATACCGATGTGTTGGAGATATAGGAATAGAAACATGTAGGTTTGATTGAAGACCAGAGCATGCTTTTTATTAATTATTTTAAGTTTAAGCTCTCGTCTTCAATCAAACGTGCATAAAAGAAAAGCTTCTGCCGAACTACACCAAATAATAGAAATACTGTATATACAGTATAGATCAATGGGATAGGAATTGTACTATAATATTTTCGCTTTATTTCATCCGTTTTTTCTATTTCATGCTGCTGATTTTTTAGCAACAAGAGGTAAGTGGTGTGAGTAGAATTTATAGTGGATACAAAATTCTATTATGTACAAACCGGTTAGGTTACAACTGTTCCTTCTGATAAGTATTTAAATTTCCTTTTTATAATTGCGATTTTTTATTTCATTCTTATTCGAGTAACTCAAAGTTTTTCGTACTGGAATTTATCTAGGAACTTTTTAGGCATAGATTTCCTTGCTATGCTTAAATAAATTATTTTTCTTCGTGAAAATTTATTTTTCATTTAATGTAAAAATAAATTCGTGAATTATAAGGAAAAATTTGCTTTCGAACAAGAATTTACTTTTTTCTCGTGGCATCATGAGCTCAATATTCCGACAAGTGCTTAAAGTCCTACAAAAATTCGGAAAAAATTATTGGTCCTGCAAGAATTCAAACAACAGAAATGAGTTCTACAACAATTCGCTCAAAAACTCTTTGTGAAGGTTTTTCAAGGCAAGATAATTTTTTACTTAAGATCGTGTTTCCAATTTCTGGTTCAAAACTCAGACAGAAAAGGCACCTGTCGCCACCGCCTGGAGAGGGGGGGGGGGGGTTACCGCAAGCTGATATTTCTGGTTCCAGTTTTAATTTGCGTTGCGAACTTTCATATTTATTAAAAATTCCTGGTAATTTTGTCGGAAGCAAACACCGAACGCAGAATAGACGTTCGGTTCTAGAACGTGGGTGGGAATAAAATTACGAATGATTAAAACAATTTTTGAATCATGTAGAGCAGAACAAGTGTTGAAATCGAGAGTTTTTTGAGTTGAAGTCACGCAGCTGTTGAAGTATTCATCACGGCCGTCAAAAGCGTCTTGCAGTATTACGCGTCTCGGTCGATTGAAAAAATGGCTGTCAGCAAAATTCATTTTACCGCGGCACAGCTGGGCTTGAGCAATGTAGCTGTTGAAAAACTCCATGTTTGCGTCCAAGAAGAGGAATTTATCGCTCTGGCAACTTGATAAGAGGCGTAAGGGGCCGTGCTGGTAGAGCCTTATAGAATTTCTCCAGCACTTTGCAGTGCGACCGTTCGCCACTATTTTGCTGCACATGAGGTCACCACCTTTAACCGCACAAAATGAGGTCTATTCACCACTTTTATTAAAGCACAGAGCTTATTTATGCTGTATTTTCTGCTAATTAAGGGAATTTATTTACCGATTTTATGTTACAGAGAAAAAACAAATGGACGGTCACTTTTTCCATCATCAATCGCATCCTAATTATTACTTTCACTCGAACGGAGAAACCCGGAAACCTTGAGTTTATTAACTTATAGGGGCTTATGATCTCAATTTAGTTTCAGTTCATCATCTGCAAAGCCAGAAAATTTATTTAGCAAAGGACTCTGTGGCAGATATATTTGGTGTTGCTCGTCTCTATTTTTTTCATGGTTATTATATAACCCGCAACCACGACATTTCTGTCACCAGACCTGATGAATGCCAACGATGTGACCTGCCTCTTACTCTTCTAATGGCACATGTCGTAAAGTTTCATATAAAATTTATCCATATATCACTGCTAATCTTATGTTGTAAATAATGTGCTTCAAAGTTTGGTCCATCATTTGCTGAATTTTGTTTGTTATTGCATGCGACAACCCTCAAGGTATCCGCGATACTCAGGGCTAAGATCAACCCAATTTTGCAAACAGATCTTCAAGCACCCAACCTCTTAATTTACTAACCTGATACATTTCCATTTCATTTTTTCATTGCGAAAATAATTTATGGCCCACCACTGTAATTGCTACAGCCTGAGGTCGATATTTGTTAACATTTGGCGTCATGAGAGTATCCCGAGTTTTCGAGTATTTTAAAATGCTTTTCCCAAGCTTGTGAGCGTGGAATATTTCACAACAATTATTAGTGCTTTCGAATTGCAATTTTTCCAGACGACACCAAATATTTTCCGAAAAATTACTTGTTTCTTCGATGATTCCGATGTTCTCTTAGAGCCAGCCAGCCCACCCAGTGCATTAGTTTTCTTGTGATAGCCTTTGTTCTTTCTCGACCATTACCTCTGGCGCAGGTCTTTGTTTGCCCCTTGGTTTTTATGGCGCAGTCTAATAGTCTTTATGACTGGGCAGATAAGGACACCGTTGTCCAAGTTGCGTTTTCCTCTCGTTTTTGCGCTGTTGATAGCTACACCATCGGCATGTTTTACAGGAAGCATCACGATGTGCAATGACCTTTACATACACGAGTATAGAAGCAAACGGTTTTTGCTGTGCGTCAAAATCATATTATTTGCCAATGTTAATATTTTGTAGTATTTCGTTGCTTCCTGGAGGAAATGTTGATTTCGTATGATGAGTGCTTACGCAGACATTACGCAGAGTTCCAGAGGCGACTCGTGATTGAACATCTCCTGGCAGCAGACATTACGCAGAGTTCTCTGCTTGACTTGCGTGATCGTCTTGTGGCAGATACTTCGCTTAGTCTCATAAGCGACTCTTGCTTGCTTGATCTTTACAAGGGCCGGGCAATCAAAACCCGCTCAGGTTCATGTAGAGAACTAAGTACAACTACACGTCATTCATGTTGAGAACTAAGTACACGTAGATATCATTCATGCTGAGAACTAAGTTCATGTACACGTCATTCATGTAGAGAACTAAGTTCACGTAACGTCCTTCATGTAGAGAACTAAGTTCACGTAACGTCCTTCATGTAGAGAACTAAGTTCACGTAACGTCATTCATGTGGAGAACTAAGTTCACGTAACGGCTGATTTCTCATCTGCTATTAATCAGCTTAGCTTGAAAAGCCGTCAATTATTGATCTTAGTTACAAACGCGCACCTATTTTGACAATGGCGCATCTATTCTTTTTGACAATACCGCACCTATTTTTCGACAATAGCGTACCTATTTTGACAATGAGAGCACTTACGACAGGTATTACGCCGAGGAGCCGCTGGACGGCACTGAGGTGTCGCTGATACTGGAGGGCGTGGAGCAGCAGGACGCGGGGGCCTACACATGCCACGCTACCATCAACGGCCGCACCACCACACGCAGCTTCCTCCTACACGTCCACAGTAACGTCGCTGTCTTCTCTAGGCTGACATTCTGGAATTAACGTTTTTTGATGGGGATTTCAACGTTGATTTTTGCCATCCCAGTAAAAATTAAACAGACGCGGCAGCTTCTGATTTGGATTACCAGAAGCTGGGGCGACTCTTAATTTTGTTACCCAGTGAAAATTTACAGACGCGGCAGCTTCTGATTTGGATTACCAGAAGCTGGGGCGACTCTAAAATTTTGTTAGGAATGGATGTCAACAGCTAGGAACGTCGCTGTCTTGTCTAGGCTGACTTTCTCGACTTAGGCTTTTGAAGGGGATTTTAACGTTGATTTTAACCTTGATGTCAACAGCTACTAATGTGGCTGTCTATTGTAGCCGAACATTAATTCTTTACTTAAGGTTTTGCTGGTGATTAATAATATTTAAGGCAATGTCTTGAGTCTTTAGACTGAGCTAAAAAGCTCTCTCGCCTTAATTGAATTTTTAGGTAATTAAGCTTTCTTATTGTTTTTATGACTTCTGGGATTGGGTAGCACAATAATTGAACTTTCAAATTTCAAGTTTTATCTACCTCTACCTCGAGATACCCCACGCTAAGCTAATACATGGTTGGTTGTCTATTCACGTCAATTAATAAATTTTTTATACACAGAGACTGTATATATTTTATATTTCATCCAGAGACCGTAGAGTTCACCGGCACACCGCAGCACCAGACGCTGTCGGTCGGCGCCGCGTCGTCCCTGCGCTGCACGGCGCGCGGCGACCCGCCGCCCAGCGTCGCGTGGAGCGTCCGCGGCCGCAGACTGAACGCCGGTGAGGGAAGTCCGGCGTGGTGAGGGAAGTCCGGCGTGGTGAGGGAAGTCCGGCGTGGTGAGGGAAGTCCGGCGTGGTGAGGGAAGTCC